TTCCACCTGGAATTTTTCGAGGTACATAGGTTGGACTGTTTTGTTCCTTGTCTCTCATAATATTGAACCCAAGGCCCTCTTCTGTTTTGTGTAGCTCAACAACTCTAGGATGAGAATATCCTTCACTGACCGCACAGGCAGTGACAGGAGCCTCTGCAGTTGCATTAGCTCTCATTCCAGGACGGCCACTGATATCCACAGCCTCACAGACATGTTCATAAGCCTCAGGACTGCTAAGTTGTGGAGACTAGCCTTGAACTCATGATCCTTCTGCTTCAACTTCCCAAATAGCTGAGATTATAGGCATACACCACTGTACCCTGCAAAAAAAGTTATTTTTATGTGATACATATAGTATTTGAAAGGAAATAACAGTGCCAGAGACTTGATCTTAAATAGTTGAACAAAAAAGTGATAAAGGAGCCCAGAGTGGCAAAATGTTAAGTCATACCCTCTTTCTAGATCTGTGTTTTACCCTTTTTATCAGTTTCTACAATTCATTGATCTGATTGCCTCCCTTAGTCTCCTCATATCCTATGCCAGTGTTTCCCCTTCTTTCATAGAAGAAGCCTTATGTTTATGTCTCATTGCTCAGAATTGTGTTCCATGACAACCTGTGGATTTGCAGAATATTAAGAATGTATTCCCCCCATCCACCGCCAGGATTAGAGAAGAGTCACTCAGGGCAAAGGGGTTGTGACTGACTGCTCCATGAGCAGGCCAGTAGCATCTGCTTACATGTGTCTTCTGGCCCAGGAGCTCTAAATCCTTCTCCTGTTCTTGAAATCAAAATGCAGAAAAGGGAAGAATGTTCCCATTATGTGAAAAATATTGAATTTACTCTTTTTTTTCTTGTAATTGTAGATGGACAGAATGCCTTTGTTTATTTTTATGTGGTGCTGAGAATGGAACCCAGTGTGTCACACATGCTAGGCAAGTGCTCTACCTCTGAGCCTGAGCCCCAACCCCAGCCTCAGCCCGAGTTTACTCTGTTTTTAAATAACCACCAGATTTGGTATTGAACAGTTGTTACAAAATAATTTGTGAGATGTTCCATCATGGTTCATGATTTTGGCTTGGAAGCACTATTTTAGAGGTACAGTGAATATTTAGAGCTACGGATTATTTCACTCTTATGTGTATGTTTAAAATGTTTCATAGTAAAAGGTATGAAAAATTTTATTGTCCAGAAGAAAAATCAAAAGCAGAACATGTTTTTATTTGCTGGTTGATTCCAACCTTCACCAAATCACCTGATAAAATTCCTGGTCTCACTGCTTTCCATATTCCTAAAACAGTTGTTTTTCTGATATCAAGAAGAGGGTAATAGGTGATGGAATACTTGAACAAAAGGATTTCAGAGTTTTATACATTTCTCTCTTTTACATATAATAATTCCTTGACCTTAACACAGTTCCTTTCACAGGCCTGGTGACCTATAGATCATAAGAAGAAATTCAAGTCAAGGAACAGCTGAAAGCTTTTGATGATTCTGCTCTATAACTTTTTTTTTTTTTTTTATTGTTGGTCGTTCAAAACCTTACACAGTTCTTAATACATCATATTTCACAGTTTGATTCAAGCGGGTTATGAACTCCCAACTTTACCCCGTATACAGATTGCTGTATCACATCAGTTACCCTTCCATTGATTGACATATTGCCTTTCTAGTGTCTGATGTATTCTCTGCTCTATAACTTAAAGTTCGGGATGGGCGTGCCCAGGGTTGTGGCTCAGTGGTAGAGCCCTTGTCTACCATGTTTGATCCTCAGCACTACATATAAATAAGCAAAATAAACGTATGGAAGAAACCCTTAAAGCTTGTGTTGCTTTTTTGTGGATTCATGCATTTGGAATGGATGCCAGGTAATAAAAATGGATGTCAATAGTTCTAGATGTATCGGAGCAGTGGTGCACACTTGTAATCCCAGTGGCTCGGGAGGCTGAAGGGGGAGGATCAAGAGTTCAAAGCCAGCCTCAGCAAATTAGCAAGGCCCTGTCTCTAATATAAAAAGGCTGGGGAGGTAGCTCAGTGGTTAAGCACCCCTGGGTTTTATCCCCACTACCAAAAACAAGAGTTCTAGATGCATCCAAAACCTATTGAATTAAGTGGAAAATCCAGTCAAAGTTGGATTGAGTTTTCAAGTTCTCCATTTCTAACCCACACATATCTTCCCCTTTTTAACCTGTTCATTTTCTTTTCACTTTTCAAGCTGTGTTCTTCTCTACCGAAGGGATTTTTTTTTTTTACATTTGCCAGGCAAGCGCTCTACCACTGAGCCACAATCCCAGCCACTGATACTCTGTAATATTCCTTGTTCAGAAGTCTACTGTGTAATACTAAAATAGCCACTCTTAATTAATCCTACTTCTTGTGTAATATGTCCTTTTCCACTTTCTTACCTTTGCTGTTTTAAAGTGAATTTCATATAGAAAACATATATGAAATTTGACAATCTCTTGAGGATAAGGATGCTGCACTTTTAAAAAAAATATATAAATTGGCATGCCTAGGCCATTTATACTTAATGTAATTATTAATATTAATGGAATACAGTCTGCCACGTAGCTATTATTTCCCACTTGGCCCATGTGCACTTTCTTTTTTCCGTATTTCAGATTTCTTTTAGGTTGATTATTTTATGGTTCCACTTTAACTCTAATATTGGTTCATTACTTATATTTATTTTTAACTTTTGGTGGTTTCCTCAAGCTTTGCAATATCCTCTTTTAATTGATCAGTTTCCTATATTTTTTTAACATTATACTTCCAATTTCTCTTATCTGTTGTGCTACTGTTCTCACACATTTTTTTCTTACTGTGGATAGACATTTTACTTTCTTGGGAGCTGATAAAGCATGTCTATAAAGCTGTTTGTTGTCATCACATGACATAGAGGAGCTTGAAGTATAGAGGGCAGGCAATTGTGAAGGAAGATGGATGTGTAGAAGGGAAAACAAAAAGAAGTGCCCCAAATGCATGACTCCCCCAACATTTTCTGAATGTCAGCCAGCTAATATTGTATTATCTTTTTGTCTTTTGATGATATTTTTTTAAAAAATTGTCCATATTTCACCTGCCAGATTTTTGTTACAAATTATTACTGGAAGTATACAAAACTTTTATTTTTGTCCACTGTATTTTTAAGATTTTCTGCCATTTTTCCAAAAAAATAAGTTATTAGGAGACTTATCCTCATTAATATATAAATCATAATTAAATTTTAAGACACTTCCTTTTGCAGGGGTTGTCAAATGAAGAATCATATGATCCAATTTCTGAGAACAGTTACCTTCTTTTAAACCATTGAGCAGTTTCACATAATGGCTGTTGTGTTTTTTACTTTCAGTCTAATGTGAGAGTATCTGCCCAACATTTGAGATTTTCTAGTTAAAAAAAAATAAATAAACTCAAGTTTCAAGAGGCTAAGTGCCAGATCAAGGAATCCATCAGACAAATCCATAGCATAAGGAATCTTACTTGGCAAATTACCTCAGCAGGTCAAGGGCATGCAAAAGTGGAAGGGGAGCTGTTTTTCATTACAAGAAATTCAAGTCACACCATCAAATACAATTGCTGTATTAGCATAAAGGATGTATATATATATATATATATATATGTATGTATGTAAGTGTGTGTATATGTATGTGTGTATATATATATATATATACATACATATACATATTTTTTTTAAATTTTTTTTTGCCCAGAAGAAAGTGAGCACTTAAGCCTTTCCTTTTTACTTTTCTGGATGAGTCATTTCCTCATTCACTCTCCTTTTCTGAATCACCGTGTTCTCCACAACTTACAGTATTTATGACAGATAGCAAGAGCAGGGTGAAAACAGGTGATAATAGAAACTCAAAAATCTCAAGACTTAATAAAGGATTTGTCTTTTAAATCACTTTAGTAAGGGATTTACCACTTTTTATCAATTCCATTGGCCTTTTGACCCGCATTTCCTAATCATCAGTTAAAACCTTTTCAAGAAACCGTGGGAAACATTTGTCTTTACACTTTGCGGCCTCATCAACAGTTGCCTCGGGGTATTGTTTCTTGGGATCTACATCCATCATGGAGGCTCTTGGAAGGAACACCTTGTCGGCAGGTAGTAGCAGAACGGTCAGTTTTGTAGATCATCAAAGCTCCAGAATGAAAAAAGGCAATCCAGTCAAAGTAAGGTTGACATCCTGTTTTCCTTCAAGTCAGCTCCCAGGGCAGGTCAGCCCAATTTTCTTGCATTATCTCCATTTTTAGCTCACACACCACTTCCTTTTTATACCTTTTTCCTTCTTT